CTAATTGTTAAAATGTATTTAAAAAAAATAATAATCCTTTAGAATTAAGTACTTATTCATATTTTGAATAATTCACTCAGTTACTAGTAAATGTTTTGAACTTACAAAAAAAATGCATTTGTGTGAACGGCTAAAATTGTGTATAAAGCATCGGCCAAAGCATCAACATACATTTGTATTACATTTTAGTATGTGATTATGGTAGACAAATGTTGATTAAAGCGTAAATAACAAATTTTAAAAAATGGCATTTGGCTAAAGTTATATAGTTTTGACACTTTATTATAGTCTTTAAACTTATTTAGAAACATCTGTAAGACAATAAAAGGTTTTTTTGCGTTAACTTTTAGTAAAGATCTAACAAATGACAATGGTGACCAAATATCTATTTTTTTATATGTTTGGTAATCTGTGAATATGCATTATCCACTTCTTGGATGCACGAGTGGCCTGGAATTGAAAACTTCATTGTAACTGATTTTGTTCTGGGATTTTTCAACATAAACCCAATAATGACATTATCTTATTCTAGTTTTGTGGCACACAGCTATCAGACCATGTAACAATGTTTAGTATACCCAATTTATTATCAACAATATGTTGTAATATGTTAATAAACACACTTGCAAGGTCATTATGCGATCTACCAATAATTGTTTCTTTCCAAATAGCACAACATATAGTATTGGAAGTAGACAAATGAGCTGTAAGGTTTTAAACATTTAATTTTTTTTTATAAAACGCTGGGCCAACATTTGTTTTTGGAAGTGCAACTCAGATTCTTTTTGTATCATGTCGGCAATAATGTGATTCAACAGTAGAGAAACTAGATATATGGTCTATGGCATATTGTTTATACTCTGCTTTAATATGACTAGTTGTATTCTTGCCTCGCTTTTTATCAGGTGGAGTTAATGATAGTGGGTTCATTGATGAATGACAATTATAAATAACCTTTGGCTAATACATAATAAGTTTAAGAATAATTTTTTGCAGACTCTAATCAATATTTTATCAGTTTTGTAGAAATTATACTGGTAAAATTTTGTCCTTTGATTTCTTTTTTCTTTTTGAAGTAATTAAGGATTATAGTTAAGTATAAATCCAATTTTATCTTTTCTGCTGAGACTTTAGTATAAATCGTGAATACTTATTATTTAATCTCGATCAAAGTTAACTAAACAACTATATGCACATCTATTACAAGACCTTAGAAAGTTTACAATTTTGGCTGGAATTATTTTGCCTGTCTTAAATACATGTTCAAGTCCTTTTTCAGTCAAATCTTTATTGATTGATTGTTTCCAATTTTTGGGATGTCTTTGTTTTTTCTGGTAAACTTTTTATCCATTTTGATTGGTGTCTTTTCTGATTGTGATTCTTCAGAAGATGATTATTCCACTAATCTAAAACATGACAAATTATTTTAATTTTGTTATTAAATTATATTTTGGTGTATTTACTATCTTATATTATAATTACTAAAAGACATAGATTTTTAAATGTAATTTGGGTATTCTTGGGTATAGCACGCACTCTGTGCAACATGTTTGCATTCATGCAATACACTTTTAGTCTACTTCCATAAGGTTAATATAAAAATCAATATAATAGTAAAACATATGACAATATTATAACAAAATATACAATAATAAGTACAGTAATATTGTTACATTTATGTTTAATAATGGGTAAATTAACTCCAATATTTAAGCCAACATGTCAAAATATGTATTATATAATTTTAAACAAATGTATGTATTAATGACGCTCAAACAATATATTATATTATTAAATTGTTATTAGAATTTAGAAGATATCTATGAACATGAAAAATTATATAGGTAGTAGAAGCAAACTTACATCCAAGAGACAAGAACGAATCTGGCATATATATTTAATCCCATCCAAAAAGAAACACAAGTATTGCATCATCATCTTTATTGTTACAAATGTAGTATATGAGTTCTAAAATCAATTCGTAATCTGTATCTTCAGACATTGGATTTTCCAACCAATTCAATATTGCAAAAGCATATTTTTGCAATCTCTTAATTTCACTAAAAAAGATTTTGTTATTTGAATATTACATTGATTATTTGTTAACAATATATACCTAAGTAAATATTTCTTAATATAACTTTTACATGCATACTTACTTTACATAAGGAATTACAAATTCAGTGAATGGATCACCAGGTTTAATTTTGCTAGATCTTTGTGTTGGTTCATTGTAATACTTGGAAGATGCTGCAGCATTTAATGTTGCGCTCATTAATATAACTTTAAAATCAGGTCCCTGGATTTACAATACAAAAAAAAAATTAGTACAATTTAAATAAAATACTGTGCATACTGCATATTAATAAACATAATATGCATATAATTACAACAGGTATGATACTCTTGAGAATAGTTAATGTAAAATCACTAATGGTGTCACGTTCGTGTATTTTATCAATGATAATATTATGTGAGAAATAATTTAAAGCTGAATCTCTTTGGATATGTTGAAGTAAAATACTAGTAGTATAAAATAATATAGATCCATATTCACGACCCAATTTTCTAAAATATAATACATTATTTTAGATATTAGTTTCTTAAATTTACTTAATATTATAATCATGTAAATTGAAGAATAAATCATTTATAATAAATTAATATATTTGTATTCTCTAGTAGGTATTTCTCACCTTACTGTAAAAATTTAGTTAAAAATAAATGTAATATTATATATAAAATAAACAATTCATATTAACCTATGCCAATAATTAAGGTGTGTACAACTTATTAGTTTGTACCTATATGAAATTTTAGATGTTCACAATGTTCACACACTTCAATAGAACTTTATTTTATATCAACTTGCCACTTACTCGCAATGTCCCAAATTACAGATCCAACTGTCATAACAATCAGATCAATAGTGACGAGTTCTAAAATAACTTTTTGTTTCTAAATAAACAAAAATGTAGTTGATAACCATATAGTATCACAGTTTTTATCAATTAGGTATTTAGGTATGGGATTTGTTAAAATTATAGTAAATAAAGAAAACTAATAATTTCAATGTAATTCCACCAAAATGTCTTATCCCTAATAGTTAGCTCAAAACAAGTTAAATTGTTTTAAAAATTGTATGGTGTACAGAAAATACAAAAAAAGGAATGTTTTTTCCGATGTATTTGAAAGCACCTGGGAATTTTAAATTTTTACCTGTCATCCAACTAGATTCATTTTCCTTTCAGAAAATATACTGAAGTCTAAACTAGTTATGTGTTTCTTTGCAATTTAAATATGTTGAGGACCTTTGTGTTATTGAAATTGGGTTGTTCCTCAGGAAATTTGTATTGCCTAAAAAATTAAAACTTTGTTAAAAATATGTCAGTGCACCATTTGTTTCTCTCTTTGAATAACGAGCAACATGCAAGTGTGAGTACAGCAGATCCAGTTATGGAATGTTAACTTTAATATTAGAGTTATATGACATAATATTATAATCAAACTTAAAAGCAAAGATATTTTTCAAGGTACCTTATAGAGAAGCACTAAGCATTTATTTGTATTTTATTTTTAAAACAAGTTATGGATATTTTAATACTGAATGATATAATTATTTATTTATTAATTTATTTTGACTAAACGGGCTGAGCCCTTTCGATATACAAATTTATGTCCACGCACACAATTACATATTATACAATGTGTGTCCCGTGAACAGGTGGGTATGTTAGTTAGTAAAATAGTACAGTAAAATAGCTTTAAAATAAAAACCTATTAACAATATTCCTACCTTTAAGTTTCATAACTCGCTCCAATATGGTATGTATATAATTATCTTCAAGAAAGTCAACGTCTGAAAATTGTCAACACATTGGTTTGACTTCCTAGTTCCTTGTATGTGGTATACTGGTATATCATATATTTCAGCTTTGAAAACCATAATAAGTATAATCCACTGTATGAACTAAAAACAATAAAACACTAAGTAACTTATGGCTTTGGCAAACATTTAAAATCGGAACTTGATTAATATACTTATATAAGTGTATGTGAATTAGACATTATTAAGTTTCTAAGGCTTTTCTGGGTGAATTAAAATCATTGACTGTAATGTCTCCAAATCCTTTATTTGTCTGTTCATTTTCTTCAAACTCATCGTTGTAATTTTCTGAAAATATAAAGTTGTAAAAAATATCTAAATACCTACCTAATTATTATTAAAATAATTCAATATTAAAAGATTTTACCTCTTAGATGATTTACTAGTCGTGCTCAGAGTGGTACCAGTGTTGCTATAAATTATTACAATTTATTTTATATTGTTTATTTTACTCCTCTAAGACAAGCGGTTAGGATTATGTTTTGTGACAGCCTCTGGCCATAATAATAATATCTACTATATACTGAGCCTTGTTTATAATTACTGATTGTGAAATTATAACCGCAGATTCTGCTCCAGATAGAGATTGAGTACCTAATCATTTAATTTGAAAATTTATTTCCTTCTATTTTCATTTTTTGTAAATCTATATTTGTGAACAAATTAGACTGGCACAATATTATTAAATGTGTTGGCCCTTAAAAAAAATTACATTGATATTGTTCTGTTTTATCATAAAATGAATAAACTATAATGATAGATTTTTTACTCCACGAAACGATATTATCTCTCCTTGTTACCGACTTTTTTAGAGGTTATGTTGTTAAACTTTTGTTATCGTCTAAATTGTTGTTTTTTGTTACTGAACTTCCATTAGTCAAATAAGTCAATAGTTGAATAGTCATTATTCAATACTCATTAGTCATTAGTCGGTATACTGTATAGTATCTTCGCTCGACTTCTGTCTTGCTTAGAATTTGGATATCCATTATCCATAAACTATCATCGAATATTATATTTATTTTTATTCGATATTTCTTAATTGATTGGTCGGAACTACTATTCGCCGAATAAATTTGACTATTAATATTCGATTGTTCGTCTTTCAAAACCAATGGTTCGTGGTAGTGGACGTGTCGGTATGAATAGATTTCCACCATCGTTAGCCGGACCAATGGTTCCTCCATTCATGTCCCGCAGAGTGCCAAGACATCCTTTCGATATTGTCCTTTGCGAAGGCGCTTTCCCTCGAGTGAAGCCAGGCGCTCATACTACAGAGGAGTCGGCTTTCAATGCTGTAAGTGCAAATCCATAGTATTGCAACTTTTTGCGATGTACACTTTTTGAATAGGTATTATGTATTTACTCTCCAGGCTTTGCTGAAAAGAGCTCAGGTGTTGACACCCACTCCCGAAGACCATTCATCCTTACTGGGAGTTGTTACCAAGATACAGTCTATACTGGATAATATTATTATATCCCCAGGAAAAACAGAAGTATCGGTAGGTTTATTGTTACAGAATACATTTTAAATTATTATCAATTTGTAATATTATATTATTATGTTTGCACAACAGATAGAGGAGGTTAGAGTAGTTGGATCTTTTAAAAAAGCTACTATTATGAAGGGCCATACTGTGGCTGACATAGTGGTTATTTTTAAAACATTACCCACTAAAGAGAGCGTAATCTCTTTGTCTCAAAGAATTATAGCAGACTTCAGAGAAAACTATCCTACTGGTATGCAGATTGCTGATGGTTGGTTTAGAATTTCCTTATTCATTTTTTATGATGTTTATTGTTCATATTTGGTACATTTGTTTTTTTATTATTATTTTTAGAAGTTTTGATGGCTCCAGACAGCACTGGTTTTGATGTTATTTCATCACAAGGCACTGTGCGCATACTAATTTCCACAATATCTACAAATTTAAAGAAGCTTACGTCTGGCCTACACTTAGATGCAAATGCTATGAAACTACACATGGGTGCAATACGCCATAGGTGATTTCCTATTAAAATATTTAGCGTGTTTACTGTTTAGTTTCATATAATATCATAATATAATTTAGTAATTTTTTTAGAATTACTTATTGATTTGTATGATATAAAAGTGTATAAATAATGCTATTAATTATTATACATTGGTAAATAATAGATTATAAGACCCTTCATTCTCACTCTAAATTGAGCCTCGTTTCCATAATCAAACTATTATTTCTATTATTATTATACTACTATTTTCATGTATTATAGGGTTCGTCCCGTATTGTAAAATAAATAAATAAATAAATAAATAAGAAGGGCTCGTGACATAGCATTTGCAAATTTGTTTTTAGAGATCCGAAGGTTGTAAATTTGTTTTAGACAACCAAGTAGTAAAATATAAAATGCGTAGTTATATACATAGGGATGAACACTGTTTATGCTTGTATTATAATTTTAAAGAGATATTAATATTTAAATTATCTTGACATTTTTGTAATAATTATGTTAGCCATAAAACACAATATTGTTCGATGCAGATTAATCAGTAAGCTGAAGCTGATAGATAATTCAGTTAATAAGCCGGTCCTTTTATTGTAAGACATACAATAAATATTTTTGAAGTTTCTAGGTATTATGTTATTAACATTTATTATTTTCTTTTCATTGTTTATTGTAAATTACCTTCTCAAATCATATCCAACAGACAGTGTTACAATCTCATATACTCAAATATGTGAACATCCTTTTTTAGATATACAAGTCATGAGCCCTGATTACCCTTGTTAACTGTTACTGTTTTTATTTTTACTATTTGAATACCAACATTTTTAATTACAATGTCAATATCAACTAAACCTTTGTATTTGTTTATTTGTAGCCGGTGGTTTGATGACAATGCCTCTCATTCATCAAATAAGATGCTTGTTAGGCTTCTTAAAGATTTACGCAACCGTTTTACTGGGCTAAAATGTTTAAATCCATGGATGATAGACTTATTGGTTGGTTTGAAACTTAAAAAATAAAAAAAACAGCTAAACGACAATTTTTAAGAAACTAACACATTTTTAAATATTTTTTAGGCTCATCGTTCACTGTTAAACAACAAACAAACATTACCCATTCAGATAGCATACAGGAGAGTCATACAACTACTAGCTGGTGGGCTATTTCTTCCTGGTTCAGCTGGAATAATAGATCCCTGTGAAAGTGGTAACATTAGAATTCAAACCTTACTATCATTGGAACAACAAGACTTACTGTGCATGACTGCACAACATTTAGTTCGTGTGATGGCTCATGGTGGTTTTATTGCTGTACTAAATGGAAACGATAGTATGTAAAACCTATATTATCATGTATATTAACTGTAAATTTGATTTTTCACTTTTTTTTTCAGATATTCTAAAATTGAAATCTATTAACGGCATTGTTTTTGAAGATTTGCAAAAAGCTTATGAGAAACAAGAAGAGATGGTAGAAGATGTGGATGCAACAAGTGCAGAAAATGAAGAAGTAGCAATGGAGAGTACATAAGTCAATAATTATAAATTAGTTATTTAAAATATTGTGATTTTCTGTGTACATATTTAATGTTTGTGTGTGTGTTAAGTGTGCATATTTCCTACATATTCTTTTTATCAATTCATTAGGAAATTATCTAAACGATAAATTGTATTTATACATTTAAGAACCTCATTTTTGTATAACTCTTTCAATAAATAAATTTCTTCTAAGGTACAACAGTTTGAAAACACAATTTTTTTATTGAATGTATTATAAAAACAAGAGTAATATAACATATTTAAAATGTGATTAAATTCACAACTTAAGTACAAATGTGACTAGATTTAATGACTAGATTAGTGTTTTTAGGCAATATAATTTAAGGCGAGTAGTATTATTACAGTATTAACACATTGGAGACGACATTTTTTTAAAGCATTGTTACGTTGAGGACGAGTGCCGTGTCTAACACGGTCATAGTTTTTTAGTATCAGAGACGAAGTATTTTTAGATATTGCAACGTTGAGGACGCTTACCGTGTTTAAAACGGGCAATATTTTAGCGTCTAAAAGACGAACACCGTGTTTTACAAGAAATCGTTTAAGTAAATCGATATTTAATTTATATTCAATTATAATATAAATTGTATTATAATATCGCAATACCAACAATTGTTTCGATATTTTTTTCGATTATATTATAATATAGTCCAAAAATTATAATAAATAATTATGTCGTTGACATTTCCCCATCGACCATTGATTGATTACGATCTCCTGGGAGTCAAGTTCTATTATTTAATTGTTGTTGGCTTCTTTTATTCGTTTTCTTTGTTTATAATACATTTTTCGTATTATTTATTAATATTATATTAATTAATAATAATACTTGATATAATTCACTATGGATAATCGCATTAATGACGATGAAATCGTTAATTTATTGCTGGATGAATTTGCGGAGAATAGTGGTTCAGAACTTGATGACAATGATTCCGGTTAGTAACTAAACAAATTGTAATAAAAAAAATAATTTTCACGAATACCTACTATTTATTAATTATTATTATTTACTATTTAGATGAAGATGTAACAGACGATTTAAATAAAACGTATACTAATTTAGCTCCTGTTATACCTGATTTTTATAACTACCTTGATGCTTTTGATCCACAAAATCTTCAACAAGGAAATGGTAATTTATTATTAAATAACTGTTTATCTTAATTCAGTTGTTTTATTATAATTAAATAAATAATTAATATATTAAATTATTATTTATCATTAAGAAATTTTTTTATTTTTTAAAAAATATTATCAGATGTTATGGAAATGGAATATAATGAAGTAATGGCTACTCCGCTTAATGCGGAACACCCCACAACTGATGCTCATACATGGGGATTTGAAAGTGATGAAGAAGATGAAGATCGTCCAATGCATGTGCCACCACCAACCTATAGATTACCTGTGAATCACAGAAGACAAGGGACTCTCCCTAAATGGCGATCAAAAAATTCAAAACCGAAACCGCATCCATTTACTGCCAATCAGCATGTTACAAACGAAGTAAGCGAAAACTCCACTGAGCTAGAGTGTTTTCAATTATATTTTCCGCAATTTATTGTAAAACTTATCAAAAAAGAAACAAATAGATATGCATTTTCGGTAATTCGTTCCCTAAAAAGACGTAATATTTTAAAAAAAAATTCAGTTTGGCATAAGTGGAAGCCCTTAAATATTTCCGAAGTGTATAAATTTTTTTCCATAATTTTACACATGAGTTTGGTTGAAAAACCGCACATTAAAGATTATTGGTCAACTAACCCTGTATTACAAACAACATATGCTTCTAAACTTATGAAAAGGGATAGGTTTATAAGTATTTTTTCTATGTTGCATATCGCAAATAACGATAAATATGTTCGGAAAGGTCAGCCTGGTTATGACAGCTTATATAAAATTAGATCATATGTCAATTTTTTAAACGATAAAATGTCAACATTATATTATCCTGGGCAAAATATAACTGTTGATGAAGGGGTGTGTCCTTTTCGCGGAAGAGTACATTTTAGGGTGTATATGAAGAATAAACCCGAAAAATATGGTATGAAATTATACATTGCTTCTGACCCTCTAACAGGATACACATTAAATTTTGAGATATATTCTGGGAAAGGACAGGAAAATAATTCTATTATACCTTTATATAGTCGCTTATTAAAACAGTATTTTGACAAAGGCCATACCATTTACATGGATAGATTTTACACTAGTCCAATGGTATTGGAGTATCTTTGGGATAATAAAACGAACGGTGTAGGAACGGTGATGGCAAATCGTAAAGGACTTCCAAAAGATACAGTAGTTAATGTTAAATTAAAAAAAGGCGAAATGGCTTTTGGTAGGAACGGCCCACAAATTTGCATTAAATGGAAAGACACGAGAGATGTTCTTGTTATGTCAACATGTCACTCGGCTGACATGGCACCTGTGACTGTCAAAGCTAGGGGAGGTAAAATACAAAAATTTAAGCCCGTGGCCATCATCGATTATAATAAATATAAAACGGGGGTGGACCACGGAGATCAGATGATCACCTACTACCCCTTCAAACGTAAAACTTTAAAGTGGTGGAAAAAAATGTTTTTTTATTTATTTAAAGTTAGTGTGGTCAATAGTTTTATAATATACAAGCATTATGCCTCACAAAATAAAAATCCCTGTTTGAAGACGTTTATGCTCAATCTCTGTCAACAAATGGCCGAGAAATCAGGTGAAATAATTGAGACTGACACGGCATATGAGCCAAATAATGTTGATAGGCTTACTGGTAGACATTTTATAAAAAAAATTGAACCTACACCAAAGAAAGCTAACCCTCGTAGAACGTGCAAAGTGTGCTCAAAAAAAATTAAAACGGGCAAATTAGATCGTGGTAAAAAAGAAACATCATACTATTGTCCAATTTGTGATGTGCCGCTTTGCATTGACAATTGCTTTGAAATTTACCACACAAAAAAACAATATTGGTAAAAATATATAAATTATTATTAGGTATATTGTATCATTTAAAAAGGTAATAACCTATATTATAATATTTTGTATATTGTTTTTTTTTTAAAATATTTTATTAATATTGGTAATAATATATTAAATATTATTTTATTGTATCAACTTAAAAAGGTAATAAGGAATAACCTATATTATATTATGTTTATTGTTTTTTTTTTTTTAAATATTTTATTAGTTTTACGTAATTTTTTTATACGTATTTTTGTAGATACCTACCTACTGTTAAACGTATTTATTAAAAATATGTTTATTTATTATTTGTTAATGTATAATTATTATGAAGGAAAAAATGTTTATTTTAAAAATAGTGATCATTTATGTTTATTGATATTTTAATTATTAAAATTTTTGTATACCTACAAAGAATGAAATGTGTATCTGTTCATTTTTATGATTACAAAGTTATAAACATTACATACATCGCGTGTTTACAGAAAAATATTATTATCAAAACGAAACAATAATAACATTATTTTTTTAGTCCTTTACTCCTACTATAAAAAAAAAGTATTGTAGCTAGTATACTCATACAAAATACGACAAGATAAAATAATTATCTCGGTCAACTTTTTGTTTTGACTGTTGGAACTGTCGTAATAAGCCGTATATTACATACATCGTGTTCTAGATAAGCATATTTATTTTTAGACCTATTTTTAGATCAACACTCGGCGAGTTCGATGAAAAAAAAAAGGAATTAATCGGATTATTCAATAGCGAGTAAAAAAATATGGAAAACATGAGAAAATAGCCCGTCCACACAACAAATAATTGGCGGGAAATGTTCGTCTGTATACATTAAACACACGTACCGCGTTAAACGCGGCATTCGTCTCCAACGTATTAACATTGTAAAAATTCTAGCGTCTCACGTATCTTAAAACCGTGGCCGTGCCTAACACGGTACTCGTCTCCAATGTGTTAATATAATATGATTAAAAAAAAAAAAAAAACAATAATATTAATTTGTTTACTACCTCCTATGAACTAATTATTATAATGGAGTTATTTCATTAATTCAGCGAACAATGAAATATTTAATTATATCAACATACAATTCACCCGAAACTTGTGGTTATTATGTTGAAATCCATTCAGCACTTGTCTAATAATTTTTCTTTTTTATAATACACTTAGAGTATAATTGATGATTCCGTCTATAGTGTATAATACCAGAATAAACTGAAACAAATAATATTATTTTATCAATCAACTGCTATATAACACATTAACACAACTTTTGTCTATTTCTGCCTAGTGTGGTGTGCAGAGGGAATTGGAGTAATATGATCCAAATATAAGTATCCATAATATTGTCATTAAGACAGATTTATAATTTTTTTTTTAGCTTCTCCCCAGCCTAAAGACTCATACCTCGCTACTGATTAACACTTTAATATATCCCACTTGTCAGAGCCCAGAAGCATAAACACTAAACAGTGTCTACAAGAATGATTAATTATACATACTTTTTATTTTTTACAATGGAATGTGTCATCCATGGCTTCTATTGTTTTTTTCTTATTTGATACTTATTATGTCAATTAATATAGGTTCCAGATTATAATAGTGTATATTATTTATAAAAATAAAACATTTAATATAAGTACAAAGAATGCATTTATTTTGTTAATTACAGTAGCTACTAGTTTAGAGGCCACACACGGAAGGGAATCAGTTGACAGATATTTTAAAACTACAAACAATCTCATGAAGGGTTACCAACAATTTATAAATTATACATTTTTTTACTAAAAAAAAAAAAGATTGTAGAAAATGTTAGAAAAAGCACAAAACATCAAGCTCACCAGCTCAAAATGATTAATGGTAGGGTTCTATAATGTTAAAATCATTCTTCACTTTATTTTTTATTATTAATAGCTGGGGTATTTGGGACTTAAGCTAAACATTTTCAAAATATGCAATTACAATATTACTCAAACCTATGCAGATTATTGTTATAATAATTTGTTTAATAGTTGAGAATTAAAGTGTATAATTAGGGTTTGGGATTGGAGCAATAAAAATGTTTGAAACATGCTATTAAAATAACTAAAATAAACAGTCAAAATTATAAGGGGGCAAGTTACAGAATGTAAATGCAAATATGCCCTAATATAATAATTGTTAAAAATGCTAACAATTTTTGTAAATATAACAAAATATACAAAGTCAAACTTTGTACTTGATTTCACTGTTTCACAAAATAATTGTACCTATATCTTACCTAGAATAATGAATTATGATAAAAAAAAAATGCAAGAAGTCCCGAATGAACTTAATTGAAGAATGCTTGAATCAATTTTTTTTTTAAGACCAGTGTTCGGTACTCAATATTTCATTTATAGCTTATAGCGATAATAATTTAGATTATATATCTGATTTTGTAATGAATATAAAATATAAGCTTTACATAATAATATTTACCATTTTATTTGCATGGATGATTGCTGTCTCCTAGATCAATCATACTGCAAGCCATGTAAGAATTGTAGCTTGTTGACACTGGGACTCTGAATACCATTCCACTCGGCATACATATACATAGTTTATATTGATGAGCAGCAAATTTGTTTGACAGTACTACTGGTAAATTTTGTACATCCAAGTAAATGCCTGCAGAACTCAGTACTACTGTACCATTTACCGATCTGAGAAATATATCTCCTTCGGCTGACCATTTTATTTTAGATCCATCAATAGTAGTTCCTTCATTACCTTTCAGCCGAGTATAATTTGAAGATTTCAATGTTAGAGTTTCGTTTATTGGACTTACTATCCGATTAGTGTATACTGTGGCTACATCTAAGTGACGGACACCTTCTGGAAGTCCAAAGTTTGGAAATGATGTGGTAAAAATAGGATTTTCTGGATCTCCCACTGTGAATGAATTAATGTTTTTCACTTGTGTTTTAGTGAATCCAAGTTCAATAGCAGATTCCAAACCTAGAGAAAAAAAAAATTCAGTTCACAATTTAATTGCAGCTTATAATCTCTACCAGATTTAGATAACTTACTTTTATCTTCTGGGTTGACAACATGTATAAGTATATTGTTATTTTCACTCGCCATTTCTAATGGTATATCTTTAAACCCTTCCATAATGCCATCAACTTTATATATATCGTCTAAATCTATATTGCCCATAAGTTTAGTCAGCTCACTATCAGTTAAAAACTCTATACTCTCCATTCTAGTAGTGAATCGTAAGACGACCATTAGCATAATAGTGGCGCCTAAGCCAATAATTGCAACTAACATTAATGTCCATGTATAAATCCAAAAATACCAGTTTGTAGCAACTAATAACCTGTAAAAAAAAATATATTAAAATTTAAAATCAATAATTTATTTACAGATTATAGTTAGGTATACATCTATAATATAATATATTTTTGATTAACTTTGTAGTAGTTTCTTTTTTACCTAACTATCCTTAACTCATATATTTTTATGGGCACTCAGATAATATACTTTAAAATAGAAAAAAAATATTGATATGCTTTACAAAAACAAAGTACTTATAAAAGAACAATTTACTAACTATAACAGTATAACTTATAATTGAAATTGTACACAAGTACAACTAAGTAGGACCACAAAAAGTAATATGGAATTTAAAACCTCCTAACCAAGGCAATAACTGAAAAAAAATTTGGGAAGGGGGTCCGACCTTTATTTAATATGGATCTGGACTCTTATAATTTTGTCGTTCAAAATATAAAAACTCTCGTTAATCAACTACAAGGGGTCCAACCCTCCCCAACACAGTTGAGGCTTTGTGCATAACCATTTATTAATAATTAATTTCTAATGACATTACATTTTAAAAAGATACTTTCTCATTCACTATTAATTTAGGTTGAGTATTAACTGTTGTCTATCACCATGGTAACTATTTTTAAATAGGTAACTCTTGGAAGTTTTTCTGCTGAAAGATGTTTTAAAAAAATTAAATTTGGTCTAAAAATATAAATTTTAATACTCTAAACTCGAGGGAATAATTCAATAATAACATAAACATAAAATTCATGTTTATTGTTTATGAATACCTAAACAATTAATAAAGTATAATAGTTATACAATTACTAGATATTAGTTGTACAATTTATGAACTCAAATATTTAAAGAAATATGTCAATATTAATGAATAAAATTATTATTATCAAGAATTTTTATAACTATTATGTAGTATAAGAACAATATTATAATCAAGATCTAGGCATCTATTCAAATAATTTACAATCATAATATATTCAATATTAATTACTTTATTATAAATTATAATATTGTTTTAGCCGTTTTAGGTATAAGACTAACCAGTAACCGTACACATTTATTAATATATAAAGTGGAATAAAAATAATGGTAGGTAAGAGTGTACATATACTTGAAGTAATCTATTAAAAATAGTTTAGGTAGTTGGATTTCTTGAATAACATTAACCTATTTTAACATGAGTGATGAGTCTATCATTTAGAATACATTTGCTTAAATGTACATTTCCATAACTCACCAGTCGTTTTCTTCCGTCTTGCTTTGTTTCTTTGATGGTTTTATCAGACGGTTGGGCGACAATAAATTTTGTGACGCCACATTTTTCAAATTTTTCATCATTTTTAACAACAAATTGTACCTATTTAATAATTTTTTTATAAATAAATAATAATATTGTATTATTGTTATCAAATTATCACTATAGAATATTATTTTGTTACTTCTTATCGCGGATCTTTTTATCCGTGCTTCTTATTGATTGTTCTTATCACGGAATATACAAGATAATAAGATACAAGGTAACAAGGTGTAAAATTGTTCTATGTTAATACCACGAATTAAGATATCTTAATTTAATACACAATAACTACCTACACAACTAAATATTTAATTGGATGTTCTAGGAAAAAAAGTCCGGGTAAAAAAGTCCGAGGCATAAAAAGTCCGGTATATTTAAATTTTAAGGTGACCATACGTCCCGTTCTGAACGGGACAGTCCCGTTTTTTGAATCTCTGTCCCGTTGTCCCCTGGGAAATCTTCGGGACGCTAAAATGTCCCGTTTTCAAAAATTAGACAAAAAAAAACATGGGCTGTTAACTCGTATTCAGAAATTGTTGACGTCTAGGTAGACAAAAGTAGTGCCAACGTACAAGCATTGAGAGTATGCAAGTTGGTAGTACTAATAGCCTAGTCCGTGTTTTAAGGTTATGTGAAACATTTAATTTACAATTTTTCATTTTCGCCGACTAATCGCCGTTGCCGTGTCTTCGTTAATCGTTTACTCGTTACATGCACATGCCACATGGTAATATGGTATATATTTTCTACGATTTGCACGTTTTTTAAATAAGTTTAATACTGTTTAATAATAAGTTTTTAATAATACTGTACGTAATGCCTTCACCAATATGTGTTGTAATAAGTTGCAAAAGTCGGAATGGAATTTCGAAACACCGTTTCCCCAAAAATGATTTACCACGATTTGAAGTGTGGGTTCAGAGGTGTGGTAATCCAAAATTACTGACCATGACACCTGATCAAATTTATAAAAGTTATTTGGTTTGTGATCTTCATTTTGATACAGATTGTCATAGTGAGGGGACAAAATTATTGAAACGAAATGCAATTCCAACATTATGTCTACCAGTTTGTGAGTTAATTATTGTGTGAACCATATTTATGTTAAATGTTTGTGTTAAATTATTATAAATAAATATTTTATGTAACTTTTAATAAATGATATCAATGTAGATATTCAATCATAAACATGTTAAATTAGTGTAAGTAGATACATAATTTAAATGTTGACTACCCATCCAACAATAAGTGTAATTAAGTACCTAATTGTCAAACTACATGTGTTCCGGTCAAAGTTCTGGTAAATTAAATTTATTATAATATATTGCTTTATTGAATCTGCCATTTAAGTATAAATTAGTTAATTAATAGTTAATTTATTGTCTACAATATTTATACCTAAGTGATTAGTAAATATTTACTTTTGTTTATACTTGGTTATAAATTTATGAAAGTTCTACATTTATTTATTTTTTTGTTAAGTTTAAATAAATTAAAAACTAATTCAATATGTGTGACAAAAATATAGCAGTGGTTGTAGACAATGGATCCGGTATGTGCAAAGCCGGTTTTGCCGGAAATCCAGCACCTCGTGCCGTATTCTCATCAATTGTTGGACGCCCCCGTGATCAGGTAAATATTTTAATTTTTAAGCTTATGCCATTCAAATATTAACTTATTATTTTTATTATTAGAGAGGCATGGTCGGTATGGGACTAGAAGACAGCTATGTAGGAGATGAAGCCCAATCCAGAAGAGATATCCTTACCTTGAAATACCCCATTGAACGCGGTATTGTTACCAACTGGGACGATATGGAAAAAATTTGGCATCATATATTCTACAATAAATTGCGTGTAGCCCCAGAAGAACACTCAGTATTACTAACAGAAGCTCCATTGAACCCCGAGGCTAATCGTGAAAAGATGGCACAAGTAAATATTTATCTTAATTTGAAAATAAATTGTTGTCAAACACAAAATACTTAATAGTTTGCTAACCACGTGTTTTGTCTACAGATCATGTTTGAGACATTCAACACCCCTGCTATATATGTTGCCAACCAAGCTGTACTTCCATTGTATGCTTTTGGTCGTACCACTGGTTTCGTCTTGGATTCTGGTGATGGTGTATCTCACGCTGTCCCAATCTATGAAGGTTTTGCTTTTCCTCATGCTATCCTTCGTCTCGATCTTGCTGGCCGTGATCTCAATGACTACCTTATGAAAATCTTAACCGAACGTGGTTACAGTTTCACCACCACTGCTGAACGAGAAATTGTTCGTGATATCAAGGAGAAATTAAGCTATGTTGCTCTGGACTTCGAACAAGAAATGGCTACTGCTGCTTCATCCAGCTCATTGGAGAAATCCTATGAATTGCCCGATGGACAAGTTATCACAATCGGAAATGAAAGGTAGTTTTTATACCAAATATATTTGTTTTGTATTCGTTATTTGCAACTGATTTCTAATAGTAATATTTTATTTCTAGATTCCGTTGCCCAGAAGCTCTATTCCAACCTTCCTTCTTGGAAATGGAGGCATGCGGTATCCACGAGACTACAAACAACTCCATAATGAAAATATACCCACAGTTCCGTAAGGAATTATACTCAAATATTGTATTGTCTGGAGGTACCATCATGTACCCTGGTATTGTCAACAGATTGCAGAAAGAAATTACTGCTTTGGCCCCATCTACGATGAGAATCAATATAATTGCTCCATCTGAGCGAAGATACTCCGTATGGATTGGAGGATCCATCTTGGCCTCTTCGTCTACCTTCACAGAGCCGTGGATATCCAAACAAAAATCTCTGTGTACTTTTGTTGGGTTATCCACAGCTCTGTGAAGGTAGACAAAGGAATCAGGCCCATCCATTATGCACAGACACTGCTTCTTCTAAATACTTTTATATTTATTTTCCTAAAAAACTGTATTTTTTATTTAAATTTTCCTGTATTTTTTATTTAAATAAGAATCAAAATTATAAAAAAAAATCTGATGCATTAGGCCTACATTCCAGTAAGTTATTTACAGCTCAAAGCATTCCTTTATCATAGCACGTCTGCTTTTGATTTATAATTTTTTTATACTGACTGAATGAAAAGAGAATATAATTAAATGTATTTATTTGATAATTATTTACTTATATGGAATTTTTTTTAGACATTCCTAAATATCCAAAGTTGTCTTATAGGCAAAAATATTAGGATTATAATTTTATTAAAATGTCCTAATGGCTGATAGTTGATACTTATATTAAAATTGTATTTTTATATTCAAAAAGTTTAGCATGGGCTTTGTTTTTTTTATATTATGCTAGGTATTATCTTATGTTTTATATAAAATGTATATTTATATGAGTATAAATATTATAACTATTATTATAACTTGTTTAATGTTAGGTATTAAGTATCCTTTGTTTTTTTTATATGAGTATAAAAATTATAACTATTATTATAATATTTATATGAGAATAAATATTATAAATTGTTTAATGTTAGGTATTAAGTATCCTATGTTTTTTTTATATTATGCTAGGTATTTCATATGGCTTATATAAAATTTATATTTATATTATAACTATTATTATACTATATTAACATTTTGTTGAATAAATAATTTAAAAATTTTTTTGTCAAATGGTGTTCTATTTTATCTATTTTGTTACTATAAGTTTTCTTATGTAATACATTTTATATGTATTAATATACATAGTAAGTACATATACTTAATGTCCTATGTAGATAACTATTGAAGGAGTTAAGAATATTATTAGCAACAATAATATTGAATCATAGGTATAATATGAAAATTTGAAAAAGGCGCCATCTACTGTTAGTTGTGGTAGACATCCACCAGGAGCGCTATTGCGTCAACACTCAACAAAGTATTTGCCGAGAGTGCCCTTTCTATTTTATTAGTTTTCTATGAAAAAAAATAATGAAAATAATTGTTCGTTGACGAAATATAGTTTTTATTATATCTTATTTCTTATGTGTGTTAGGTATGTTTTGTTACAAAAGTGAACTTTAAAATGTCTTGTACAGAATTTTACTCGTTTCTGAAGTCATCGCCAGATTTATAAAAACAAATTTGTTCAAACGAAAAATATACAAGTATTTAACTTTGTAATTATTACACGAAAACATTTTGTTTATAATAAGTTAGGTAGTAAGTGTAATAAGTTAATTTAATTTGTTTGTACTTTAAAAACATTATAAGTACCAGAAAATTGCTAATAATATTATTAAATTAAAAATATTTGTCTGTAACAAATAATTATGATTTTTTTTTTTTGTCCCGTTTTGATTAAAAAAAAATATGGTCACTTTAGGTATATTATAATATAGGTACATAACAATGTTTAAAATAATTTATTAAAAGAAAAATTCAATGATTATAATTATGTACTATGTAGTAACAGTGCTCGAATTGGAAATTATTAAGTAGATGTGTTCAATCCAATCATTTATAAACTGCTTTCCAAGTGCAAAATTACTCAACGCAGACTCACCACCCTAACCTATTCCTAATTTTTCAATACTACATTTCACCTTAGTTACAGAATTTTAACTTTATTCTATTCCAAAGGTCCAAATATAACATATTTAACTATATGTGCTTATGTAACATGTAAGTGAATATGGATTTATATTTTATATTCACCTTATTTTTCGAAATTTATATTGATAGAAATAATACCTACATGGCTACATATTTCGGTAGGAAATAAAAAATTATAATTATCAGTGATAAATGATAATACCTTAATAATTATAATGTATGCTTCAGGCGCATACCTATATGCCAATTGTGAACACTAGGCCACAGATGCCCAAAATAATTTTTATTAAAATTTGGAATGGCTCTAAATTGTTGTCAAAGATAAATCTAATGAATACCCACCTAAAAAATTTTACATTTTTGAATATAAAAATATTTTTCAACCAACCACCTATGGTTTTGACTAGTATTATAGTGTTCAACTTTTTTGACTCGCGATCCACTAGCTGTTTTTGTAACAATATTTTCACGACTCGTGTCACCGAACACCTTTATAATTCATAATTTATAATTTATTTTTTGCAGATATTTTGAAATGCAATAGTTAATTGTAGGTACATAATACCTGCGAACTACTAAATTAGGCAAAGAACAAGTACAACAAACTATAATGAAAAATTTAGCAAGGTAGGTATTAGGAACTCCACGAGCAACATAGACAAAACGCATTTACGCAGAATCATTTTTAAAGTAATCTTAGGGTAAAATCACCCATTACAAAAAAGATAGAGAATAATATTTTTGAGGGAATGACATATCGATCTGTCTAAATACTGCCTAAAAACAATTTAAACATAATTTAAATTTACAATATTTTTTTGATTATTTTGTAACGATACAAACCCGTACACACAATTATAAGTCAATTTCATATCGTCATATTCATAATGTCATAATCCGTAGCCCGACACAAATATCGCAAATGTCAAACAAGCAGGAAATACGACACGAGCACAATGACACTAGAGAACCAATCTGATTACAACTTGAAAGTGTTCATCAAAGTTAATTAACTTTTGGCATAATTAATGACGTTAAAGGACATTAATTACTTTATAAACATATTCATTTAATTCTACATCATCTTATCCACCCGATTCATCAACATTTACACTGTCTCCAATCAACAGAATTACCATAGGTACATGAAAAAATCCCAAGTCGATCTCACATGCGAGTCACAACATACATATATACCACCCAGAATCGACAGCAACTAAAGACTAAGACATCTACTATTGTCATTGGTTTAAAATACTATCAATAGAATTTTAAATTAAAAGCATCAAATAATTGCCATAGGATATTATTGCTCTGTAATGTATAATTTATACTTGCTTGCTAAAGTCCGTGTACATTGTACAATCAGTTACTTTTTGTGATATATATATTTATCTATATGCAGAAAGGTAAATGTTTATTATTATCTATAATATACTGCCTTATAATACTTTTATTATAAAATTATTTAAATATTCAAAACAGTCAAAGGACGGCAGTGGCGTGGCGAACTGAACATTTTCCAGGGCAAGTTACAAATATCACAAAGATAAATTGCATAATAATGTATAATGTATTAATATAATATAACTGATTACATTCAGAATTGCATTTAGTGTTATAATAAAAACTGGCAAGAAATACGGGATGGAACGTGTTATAGGCAAGGCCGGATTAAGGGGGGTCTAGCCGGGGCGGAAGCCCCGGGGCCCTCTCAAGTACCAAAATGAAAAGGGCCCAAACAATTTTAAGCTGATACACATTTTTCAGTGATTTTAAAGAATAGTTTTTCTATATTTTAAAAACCTTTTTTTTATCGACAGAAACAACTAAATAGTAAATACCTTTTTGTAGGAAAGACGCATTTTCCTGTTATTTAATAACTGTTAGTTAATATTTGTTGTAAATAAGTATACTGCTAATAAATTTAAAAGTTAGTATGAAAATTTGAATTTAAATTAATGAAATATGAAGTATTAACTCTGTGGAATGATTATGGCAGAAGCTGATATGTACATTTTGTTAATTTTTCAATTATATCATTTAAATAGTTTAGAAATCGTATATTCCAAGAAGTGGAAAAAATTTTTCTTCTATCATACTTAATATGATATGCCTATATTATGTGTGTGGTGCCATTTATATGCAAAGACCAAAACTGATAGGTCATTAGGTATTTGAAAATATACGTAGTGGCAAAACTAAGTTTGTAAAATGTACATATCAGCTTCTGCGGTCTTTACTTTTATTACCTATATTACAATTAGTGAATAATGGTTGTATACTTTATAGACATAAATTACATATACTTAACTATTCATTTTATAATTTTATAATGCAATTGCCATTTGTGAAATAGTTATAAAAATGTATCTTCCTGCGGGCGTAGCCAGTTTGTTTAAAAGCGTGCCTTGTCAAAAGGGCCCATATGAAATTTCGAATCTAGGAAAAAAAAGCCCCGGAAAAAAAAGCCCCGGAAAAAAAGCCCCTAACAACATTCATCGGAAAAAAAAGCCCCGTCATAGGAAAAAAAAGCCCAATACCAACTAAATACATTATTCTTTTTTATTATGATTTATATAATTAATTATAATCATAATATCCATAATCATAAATATAATATTATAAAATAATATACTAGTAAATTATTTTATTATATTATTATGCATCTAATTTATTATACAAGGTAATACATTTATTTTCTTAAAAGGTAACTATAAAAAAAATGACATCTAGTATATGACACATTGACTCGACACGACACTAATAAAAATAATAATAATAATAATAATAATAATAACTAATTATATCACAATTAAAAATACACTATTAATTGTAGTTTGTTGTTTGTTTATAATTAAAAATTGTTTTAGGGTAGTTCATAGCAAAAATAAAATTATAAAATTGTATTTAAAAATACAAATATACAAAAAATCAAAGATAAATAATATTATACTCTTTAATTTAAAATTTAAAATAATGCATAATCATAATTTATAATGCATGTACTGAAATAAATGTATAAAAAACCTCACAATAATATATATATAGTATAAATATTAAATAAATTATAAATATAAATATTTAGTAAAAGTTTTACATTGGTTATTATTACAATTATAATATAATATAGATACCTAGGTATATTGTTTAAAAATTTAAAATTATAAAATGTCGACTATAATAAAAAAAGTGATATGTATTTCGTAGGTACGGGGCTTTTTTTTCCTATGGCGGGGCTTTTTTTACCGTATTTTTTTTCTGGGGCTTTTTTTTCCGGGGCTTTTTTTTCCGATTACCGAAATTTCAAGCCCGGGGCCCAATAGGTTCTTAATCCGGCCTTGGTTATAGGCATGACGTACATGGTACATGACTGGGAATTTTCTAAACAAAACGAATAACAGATTAGAAAGTTTCAATGGTAAACTCAAATCTGTTATTTCTTGTTTTTCCACTTTGGAAGATTTTGTGGAAAAATTATTTATTGTTTTACAATGTATAGTGTTAACTGTTAAATTAGTTAGGGGGTTGTACGACATTAGTTTTACAAGTAAAAATAAAATCCTGATCATTTAATCATTAATATCAAATACTATGGATAGTTTGAAAAAAAAATTAAATAGTAGACAAATAATCAATTATCGTAATACTGATATCATTGATATAAAATTATCACAGATATTATGTTGTTTAATAATTATTGTTTTGGTATTTTGCATAATTCTATAATTTCTATGGCCTAATATAACAAAATATGTACCAATGTACATTGTACCCATTATAATATAATAGTAATCTAATATATTCTAATAACTAATTTGATTTATGGCGCCAAATTATTTGTATTAGTTGACGAGTACATAAAAGTGATAAGGTTGAAAGGGGCTGAATAGGCAATCACATACATTTGGAGCGCAGGTTTCTACTATTGTTCTGTGTTTCTACAGAGCGTCCCGTATTCTAATCTATAATATTTGATTTTAGTGCTGTGTTCTGTGTTCTGTGGTCTTGGTCCGTGCTATGGGTAAAAGTACCATAATTTCATAGACCATAATCGCGATGCAGAGTAGTGATGGGGACAGTTGGGTCCCGTGATAAGAATTGGGTCCCCTATATAATGTTTATACACAAAGGTCTATGCATAATTTATACGGGTATGTCCGTCGTCCGTAATTCCTGTGCATATGTGACGTCACTACTGTGTATTTTTTAACCTCAAAGAAATATTATGGTCCAAATGTACAATAATGTAAACTTTAAATTTTCCGCTTAGTAATTGTAATTTTTCTAGTTGCGAGATACTACGATTTGAGATTTCTTGCTAGAATATTTGAAGCTTACTGAAGAGTGAAGAGTCATTTGTTGTCAAATATGGCTACCGAAAGATACAGCTTTTCGTTGACCACATTCAGGTAAAATTAACTTTTATACTACGGTTTGACAATCTTGTTTAATATTTCTATACTATCAACATTTTACTGTATATTCAATATTAATGCGAATAGTTAATGTTCTACAGTTTTAGTGTAATTTTGTTTGTGTTGCTTTTACAGTCCTTCGGGTAAACTTGTTCAGATTGAATATGCGTTAGCGGCAGTGTCGGCTGGTGCAGCATCAGTCGGTATCAAAGGTTTGTACATATAGATTTATATTTTTTATACTATGCCTATGGTGATTTAATTAATTGAATGCTAATATTAATAATTACCTTTTGTAAATAGAATTTGAAGATTTTAGATTAAAAAATAGGTTTTATAATTTCTTATAAACCTCAATAGCTACATTTTAAATTAGGATTTAGGTAATTTATAACTACCTATAATGAGTAATTTATTAATATTAAATGACAAATACAATGTCCATGATCTCTTCGAACATATTATTTTAATATTATAAATAATTACCATCATAACAAAATATATACTTACGCAGATTTTACCATGCCTCAAAACTAAAACAAGTAGTTTCTCGGTTATTAAAATGTAAAGTAAATTGTTTTACAAAAATATAAAAAAGATGTAGTGTCGGGTCTATTATGTATCACACTCGGACCATTTTTAAAAATTATGAATATTAATAAATTAATATCACTTATCAATAAGTAAAATTTTTAAGTCAACATAGCCCCATGTCTTTTAAAGTCTAAACCTATTATCATAAACCTATTATTTTAAGTACATAAATTTAAATAACTCAAAAACTACTCGTACCAATTTTGATTCTGATTCTGAAGTCAACATTTTCAAAAAATTGTCCCCCGAGCATAGCCGTCCCAAGGGGGGCAAATGGGGCAAGTGCCCTAGGGCGTCTAAAGTATTATGAATTTAGGGGGCGTACTAAAAATGAATGATAAAAGAAAAATTTGGTGATTTTATTTTAGGTATTATTTTTCTTTTTATACTGTAATATCAAAGATGAGTACTTATCAAATTATATACTATTAAATATAAAATTATGTAAATAATGTGTTAAATCTTAATGCGACATACCTTCAATAATATATTCAATATTCATAAAAACAAATAAAAATATTAATACTTATAAGTTATAGGACTACAATAGTAATATTTATTTACATGAAATATATTTTAAATATGTATTTACATCATTAAAATAATTAAGTAATATAATTATAAACTAAACTAATTCATATCTTTGGTAGTACCTATTAAATATTTTTTTCACTTGAAAAAGATTTTTTTTCTGGTTTTTTGATCGACAAATTTAAGAACATCGCAGTATGGATTACAGAAACCATTTTTAATAATTATAAACAAAGCGAGGTCTTTAATTGTTGTGTTTAATAATCCTCCTTTAATTTTCCATGTAAAATATGGAGAAATGTCATCATTATTTTATATTTATAGAATAATATTTCAATAATACATCAGATATCTATACTGACAGTGAAATTTAATACATACATAAATACATTAAAATAATGTGATTTTGATATTTGTTATCAAATATAAAAATAGTAAATTATTAGTTGGGTTGGGGCCTGGGGGGGGGGGGTCCCTGCAGTCTATGGGTCTCAGTGATCAACAACCCCCATCTTCGGGGAGTTGTGCTACTATAAATATTATACGCAAAGGCAAAGATGTATATTATGTTATAACTTATAACCAACTCATTATCAATTTCACCCACTTCTTAAAATAAATCGAGTTAGTGTATTTTGACTAAATTCTGTATATTATATTCACTCATATTCACTTGTACAATTTACAATGTTGACTGTTATACACGTCACATGCAGAAACGCAGAACGTATGATTTATAATAAAATCCACTAATTTGTGAAAATAGTTATATATATTTTCTTTCTGTAATGTACCCGGAATAATGAAATCGGTGTCAACTCAAAAAAATCATTGAAACAAAATAAATATGATTCCAATAATAATAATAAAAAAATAAGTAGGAACCTTTAATTAATAAGTATTAAACATATTTAAGGTATGTGGTTAATTATAAGCTAAAAATGTGAAGTCTAGATTTTTTTGTGGGAGGGAGAGGGGCGTCAAATATTGTTGCCCTAGGGCGTTATTGGTGGTTAGAGCGGCACTGCCCCCGAGTAATTTGTATTAGAAAAGAGGATTCTTATTTAAGAAGCAAAATTTTGTATCTCCTCGGAACATTCCTTTAATATGTAATATCTAAAATCTCAACAATTTTAAAATATGGTCTTTAAAATATTTACAAATTCTAAAAATCTGATTTTGAATAATTTCATTATTAAAGAAAAAAGGGGCGAGTTTGATTGATGAATCACCCTGTATTATACCATCGGTATAGGTTTTTTTAAAAATAATTTGAGTTATTTATATATATATATATATATATATATATATACAGGGTGATTCTTTTATCATTGAACACTCATTATTTCAAAAAGTATTAATGTTTAAGAAAATATTTTTTTTGCATAGTTTCAAGTTGTTAAAAAACAATATTTTTATTAAAAAATTATATTTTTAAATATTTTTTATCCTTTTAATTTTTTAAGTTTTTTACTTTTTTGAATGACAACATGTAATTTTAATTTGATATTCAAAAACAGAATATTTTTCTGAGTATTTCGATACATAAAAATTGAATTTAGGGCAATTAGTTTATGAGTTATAAGTATTTAAAGTTTAGATGAGCGGAGTAAAGTGGTATGGGGTTACCCCGCGAAATGTTTGTCCACTACTCCGCTCATCTAAACTTTAAATACTTATAACTCATAAACTAATTGCCCTAAATTCAATTTTTATGTAGCGAAATACTCAGAAAAATATTCTGTTTTTGAATATCAAATTAAAATTACATGTTGTCATTCAAAAAAGTAAAAAACTTAAAAAATTAAAAGGATAAAAAATATTTAAAAATATAATTTTTTAATAAAAATATTGTTTTTTAACAACTTGAAACTATGTAAAAAAATATTTTCTTAAACATTAATACTTTTTGAAATAATGAGTGTTCAATGATAAAAATATCACCCTGTATATGTGTGTAGTGATCTAAGGGTTCTGTTATTAAATTATCACAGTTTTTTTTTACTGTTAATATTGTATGTTAATAAATTAAAATTAATAATTAATTTGTTATGTTATTAGCTTCAAATGGTGTTGTAGTTGCTACAGAAAATAAGCGTAAATCTCTTTTATACGAAACAACAGTCGAAAAAGTGCAAAAAATTACACCCAATATTGGAATGGTTTACAGTGGTAAATATGAATATGATATAAATCTAAACTAGAAATCTAATTGAATCATAATTTTAAAATTAAAATTCCAGTAAAAACATGTTTTTTTTTACATAACTGATATTATGTTTTTCATTTCAATACATATAATAAATTATTTTGATAGTTTTAAATACCAATATTAAATTATTAGTAAAATATTTTTATTTTTATGAGTTATTTGATAACAGTCAAACCTCATTAATCAATGGATTAAAAATTACCATAAATGTAGAATATATTAGTTATTTAGTACATTTTTTAGCTAGGATGCTTTTTCTTCTGATGTTCTAAAATTAATGAAAAAATTATCAACTTTTAAATCCTACTGATAAGTATTTAGAAATAAAATATAAGTATTACTTGAGATTTTTAATTATTGGTTTTGGTATCTGAAGGTATGGGACCAGATTATAGACTTCTTGTTAGAAAAGCAAGAAAAGAAGCAGCACAGTACCAACTGAAATTCGAAGAAGAAATACCTACAGCTTTACTGGTACAAGAAGTTGCTAGTGTTATGCAAGAATATACACAATCTGGGTAATTATTATAAGTTTTTTATTCTATGACATATTATAATGTTCTATTAACCCTAGAGCACACGCTTCACGGTCAAAAAGACTGGGCTTTTAGAAAATTTTGTTCATTGTTTCAAAAATACGAAATATTAACCTAATCCAACCAAGGTACCTTCTAATTCACTAAAATTAGATACAACTCCCAACTGTATACAATCTGATGTCAGTAATGTAGAAGTGTTCAAAGTTCATTATCAGACATTATGTATTAATATACGGTCAAAAAGACCGTGTGCGTGATCGTAAAAAATCAATTTTGGGTTATTTTTAAACTGTGTTTCTAATAATTGCTGCTTGATAAATGAAATTGATAGTTATTATATTTTCATTGTGACTGGTTAGTTGACTATGATTTGCGCCATACTGTGTGTGACTAAAAAGACCGTATGCCTGTATTCTCATGAATATTTTAAATGCGTGTGATCTAAGGTTAAAAAAAAATAATCAACCATCCCCTGGAACTACAGACTGGTCCCCTATAATAATCACAATTTTAAAGTCTTGCTGGAATTTTTTTATTGGTTTGTGTCTGTGCTTAATATAAAAATATTCAGAATATTATTATTACAAAATACTGTATAGTTTATGTTAATGCTCGTTTAACTTAAACTCCAGATTTTTATTATCTCAAGTGAATTTTTCAATTTGAAATGTTTTTAACTTTAACAGATAAAATTTAATTGTCTTGTTTGTTTTGTTTGTAATGTTTATTTCACAAGAATCCTATTATTATATTTTATAAGTATGTAAAGTAAACATTACAAATGGGATATCCACTTAACCATTGTGATCACTATAACCAAATTATAAGCCTTGGGTTGAGACTATGTTGTATTTGGATTATCACTAATCCATGATTAATAATAACATGTAAAGAAAATTTTGTTTTACAAAATAATCAAAAGAAAATACTATTCAAAATTAGAAATTAAGGATTACAGGGTATTATTAAAGACTTAAAATTTAATTAATTGGTTTTTCAGGGGTGTAAGACCATTTGGTGTATCATTGTTGGTATGCGGCTGGGATAGAACTGGCCCCAAACTTTATCAGTGTGATCCATCTGGCGCATTTTTCGCATGGAAGGCAACAGCATTGGGAAAAAATTACGTTAACAGCAAACAGTTTTTAGAAAAAAGGTAAATTAAAAACAAACTTCTTAAAATATATTTGTATCAATAATTACTGTATTATATTGACTGTATTTGGTCCATTGGCTAAAAAGATTGTGAAATTGCTGATTTATAGTATATTTAATCAAATTTAATTAATTAAATTATATCATTAGGTTATTATTAGCTATAACTTATATCCATTTTTAAACTGTGCCTTAGGTATAAAGAAGACTTGGAGTTGGAAGATGCTATTCATACAGCGATTTTAGCATTAAAAGAAGGTTTTGAAGGACAAATGACTGCAGACAATATTGAGGTTGGCGTTTGTCGTAAGAATAGACACGATGAAATCATTTTTGAAAAGCTTGACCAACAACAAGTGGCTGATTATTTAGCTAATATACCAAACTAAGTTTATGATAAATGTATTTGTAAATGAGTACCAACTAAATATTTAATGTGTTGGAGTTAACAGCTCTTGAATAATATGAGAGAGTATTGTCATCTCATTAAATTTTATAAATAAGTTTATTAATGAAACATAACTAATTTTTCAAAGTAAAGGCATCGGTATTTTGTAAGTACTGTTTTCAATTTATTTCCTTTCATGTATTGGTTTTTCAACATTATTTTCTTTAGTTTTACATTTTTTTTTTAAATAATATTATTATGCTACCAACTAATAAAAATTAATTTTTCAAAATTGTTATATCACGTTTATATTACATTTGGAATTTAATTTTATTATTGACACATTTTTTAAGTAATAAAATATAAATATTAAATTGGTAGGTAATGATTGGTTCAATTAAAAAGTTCATCAGAACATCAGTATTAAATACTATTAATAAACATAATTTCATGTAATTTGAATATTATGTTAACAATATAACATGCAGTGGCGTGTATCATAAAAAAAAATTGGTGTTGCTCAAATAATTTTTGGTGACCTACCCCTCATAATACTGTATACCGACCTAAAAAATTTCCTATATTTCTTCTGTCAATACCTACCCACCCATATTTAGGGTGAGGCCTGAGCAACGCTTGAATCCTATGTTGCACGTCACTGATTACATGGTAAAAATAAATAACTAAATATTGTTAATTTTTTTTTGCACTATTGATGGAAGTGGGGGTACTTTTTGAAGTAAAGTAGTAAGTACTTTGTGTAGTTAGGTGCTTACACATTACTTCCCTAAAGTTAAATATTACTAATAATGTTTTCATTATTTTTAGTCCTATAATCATTCAGCTAAGATTGTATTGATTTTATTATGATTTGTGGTTTTTCTTTGTGTGTTGTTATTTAAGGAAGTTAATTAACTATTTAACCGTTAAAAAAAATAGTAAAATTTAGGTAAAGTTTTCATTAGCAACGCAGAACTTTGAAGCTAACCAAAGATTTTGTTGTTTAGGGTCTTGTTAGAATCACTAGCTAGGAGAAGTGCAGTAAAGAGTTTCAGATCTTTATCTTTAATAGTTAATTTACTGTGGATAAGAACTATGTACCAAAGAAGAAAATCTGTTTAACATTTTTAGGGTGCTAAAAAGTATGTATGATGTGTGTTCCTAAAAAATAGTACAACATTTTAAAAACAGACTACTAAAATATTGTTTACTCGTCTGAAATGCGTTCTGGTTCTAAACATTTTCCATTTCGGACACTGCCTAAAGAATAATATGGTTTAATCCTACTGCGTAATTTCCTTTATAAAATATATACATATAATTCATAATTCTAAAAAATTTAAAAATTAAGAAAGTGTAGGGGACCTTGATTTGTTAAGCATTTGAACTTATAATGACAAAATTTGTCAAGATTACAAATTATCTTGTATTTAAAAATGTATTAAATATTCAATTTTAATAGCTAAGACTTACAATTTAATACAAGGTTCCTCATAAGTTTTTTATACTGTAACCGATAAATCTAAAAAAAAATATATAGTAAACTTTATATTTTTTTCATAACTATTTGAAGTTCAAATGTTCAATTTTAAACGAAATTCAATATTTGAACAAAGTAACGGTTTTGTTGTTATTCAAAAATATCGGGTTCGGGGTTTGATTATGAATCTTCTAGGTTTGACATTTCAAAATATTTATAGATTAATTTTGAATTTTTGCCACGATTAAATCGTGATTTTTGCGTGTAGCATGGTGCAGGAGATTATGAGAATAATCAAAGAAATGATTAAAAACACAGACTTCTATACTTAGATCATATACAATATTATAATGTATTATATAGAAGTCTGTGATTAAAAACAGCGTTATCAAAATAGATAAAATTCAACAGATTTTGATGTTATCAATTATCATTATCAGACATTATTGTTGTTGCACTTTGGTATTCTTATTCAAATGTTATTTCTTAATAATAATTTGTCCAGGGTAATGGATATTTGATTTTAGACATCTACGCAGCCGAATCGACACGACTCGCCAGTCGCCAGTGACCAGCCCCAGGTGAAATGGGCAAGTCGTCCAAAGATAAGCGTGACATATACTACCGGCTGGCCAAAGAACAGGGCTGGCGGGCTCGGAGCGCGTTCAAGCTGATCCAAATCAACAGCCAGTTCAAGGTGCTGGATGGCGTCAAGCGGGTGGTGGACCTGTGCGCGGCCCCAGGAAGCTGGAGCCAGGTGCTGAGCAAGGCGCTGTACTCGGACAGCGACGACAAGGATGACGTGAAGATCGTCGCGGTCGACTTGCAGTCGATGGCCCCGCTTCCCGGTGTCGTGCAGCTGAAGGGTGACATCACCAAGGAAAGCACCGCCAACGAGATACTCGCCCAGTTTGATGGTGGCAGGTTGGTGGACCTGGTCGTGTTCGACGGCGCGCCGGACGTCACCGGGCTGCACGATCTAGACGAGTATGTGCAGGCACAGCTGCTGCTGGCTGCCTTGAACATTACCACTTACCTGCTCAAGCCCGGTGGCACGTTCATCGGCAAGATATTCCGCGGCAAGGACTCGTCCCTGCTCATCTCCCAGCTCGAGATATTCTTCGGTGATGTAGTTGTCGCCAAGCCTTGCAGCTCGCGCAACTCCAGCATCGAGTCATTTGTCGTATGCCGAGATTTCCGGCTGCCCGACGGCTACACGCCCACCATGGCCAACCCTCTGATGACCAATGACTCGCGGTCCTGGGACGAGATGGACGTGCATAGGGTCATCACCCCGTTTGTGGCTTGTGGCAGTTTAAGTGGCTTTGACGCTGACAAGACCTACCCTTTAGAAATTGACGGCCTACAATATACGCAGAGAAATCCTGTACAGGGGCCGATTGCACCACCGTACGAGAAATCAAAGCCATTGATAACGACAAAAGGCATGAGTATTGTCCAAACACCTATTGACCAAGGTGCCACCTCTACTGAACAACCATTGGACTGATTTTTATGCCACCATGAAAGTTAAAATTATATTCTCTATATTAGGTAAATCAACTTTTTTGATTTGTTATGTATCTAATAATACATTTGTACCTATGATATTATTTTTGTATTAAATTCTGCAACCTGTAATAAATACATTCAAGTAAATTATACTGGTTTAAAACATATTTACAAATTGAATACGGTAACCCTATAATAATTGTGATTTACAAAAGTAAACAGATTGCTTATGGTTTGTAACTATGCGTAACTTATAAACATAAGGAGACATTTGTGAACTGGTATACACATTTTAATGAAAGTGCAATATGCAGCATGCCACTAGACATTTTTCCCTTGCAATTAAAATTGAGTAACCATAGTTATGTTTTTGAGTTTAGTGCAATGGAAAAATATCTAGTAGTATGCAACATTCTTTTATAAGTTTAATTAATTAAAAATTATAGATTCTATTGTTGTACTTAAGAGTGGTTTATGATGAGAACATTTTGAAACAATTCATCGTGGTTAGGTCTTTACTCTTTAGTAAAAAAAAACAAAGTATAATTTGTATAATTATTATTGTTTTGTAATTTTTTATTTAAGTTTCTATGGCGATAAACAAAGTGTTACACAAAATTGCTTTGTAAAAAAAAGTTGTATCCAACCCAAAAACATCTATGTCAATGAAATCAATTAAATATTCTTACTTAATACTTTTATATTGTATTAACTTTTTCTAAAGTAGTATTAATAATTTAGGTATTAATTCTTCAATATTTTCAGTATTATTCTAAATAAAAATCTAAAAATAACTGAAAATATTAATTTTACAATTTATTATTGTTATACTGGTATCATAATATGTGATTCAACAAATGGAATGCTCAGTCACATTTACATACTCACTACCTACTACCTACTCACATCCAGTGTTCACAATGTTTTCATAAAAGTTATGATTATCATCTTTATTTATTAGGTACCTGTGTCCTGTATGGCTGATTAATGTTTTTCTAAATTATTAATTGTACGATACTATTCTGAAAAACCATCCAAATGTTGTGGTCTCCATACTCATCATAACATCCATTCTTTCCATGTTGAACCATTTCAACTGAATCATTTACTTGTATTCTGGGTTGGGGAGGGGGGGTGGTATTCATAATTTTAAGTATAATAAGTCACAAGGCAATGATATTAAATATACAAAAATGAGCAAGTGGGCAATGATCTGTTTTACAATAATTGTCTAGATTTAGAATTAAAAAATGTATTGGTAATTTTAGAAAAAAAAACTAAAAATATGAACGTTTCTATTTATATACATATTAACATATATCAAAATGAGTTGAAATATTTTGAAAAGTTGTTAATTTCATGTATAGAAAATAATTAAATAAAAACATTAGTTGAATAATTATTAAGAGGACGCCACACCCGCTTGTGTTGTCTCCGTCTTACAAACGCGAAACATACCAAAATTACTTTCAGAAATTCACATTTTAGGCCAGGGGTTCTCAACCTTTTGAGGTCCACGCCCCCCCCCCCCTCAAACTATTATCTGAGTTCACGCCCCACCACCAAGATTGATGACCTTTTTTTTTTTTAGATATAGTATTAATATATGGATATATAATATATACGTCATAAGTCATCACATACTTTAATTTTGGTTATTGGATTAATATGTATATAACTTATAATTTACAATTACACATAATTAATAGATTTTTGGCACGGCGTTGAAAACGGCAAATTTTTTTTTAGGCCTTTAGCTTAAAAATTAGAGTGAATCGGCTTATCGTGAAACTTGATGGTAAGAAAATTATTTGTGTTTTGTTGGAAGTTTTTTTTACAATAATTCAGTTTTTAAGTGAGTTATGAGCATTTTTAATTTACATTTATTATACATTCATAACTCACTTAAAAACTGAATTATCGTAAAAAAGCTTCCGACAAAACACAGATAATATTCTTACCATCAAGTTTCTTAATAAGCCGATTCACTCTAATTTTTAAGCTAACGACATAAAACATGAATTTCTGAGGGTAAATTTGGTACCTATGTTACGCGTTTGTAAGACGGAGACAACACATGCGGGCGTGGTGTCATCTTAAGGTGAGGAAACGCTTCATAAAAGTATATGTATGGAGTGTGGCATCATGTGGCTGTGAAACCTGGATAATAATTAATAAATAAGGCAGAATAACAAATCCTCGAAAGCTTTGAAATGTGGTGTTGGAGATAAGGATGCTACGATATAGTGACTTGGATAGAACACCGTATCAAGTACCAACGAAAGCGTACTCAGTGAAATTGATGAACGCAGAGGGATACTCAAAGACGATGGAACACGATTGGTCGCATATTGAGGCACCAAAATGAACCAATTTATAGAATAATAGAAGGGAAAATTGAAGGAAAAGAGGGACCAAGGACGTCCAAGAACTTTATTTGACAAACAAAATATGATTTCCGATGCTAGATTATCAAGCTACATGGAAGTATGGAACTGAAGAGGTTAACTGGGAACAGGGAAGAGTGGAAAGCGAATGTCCAACTGCAAAACCAACCCTAAGGGTTGAATACAAGAAGAAGATTACACTATATTCATATAGCTCAGATGCAGACCGATTACTTTTTTCCTACGAACAAGAAACTAATTAGGCATTACAGAAGTACTGAGTACAGAATACGTACCTATCTATTTTTACACAATTATTTTTGCTTTATATTTTTGGTAGGATGTGCACTTGAAGACTGAAGTTCATACATTGTCACTTTAGTGTTCAATAATATATGTGTCAGGTGTCTGTTCTTAAAATTAATTCAACTGCAGTTACCTATAAATAGCCATACTATAATATCATATTGTGCCTGTGGGTCACTATTTTTTATTTTTGTTTTTCACGGTTACATCTGCAGTTTTATTGCCTATACTGTAATAGTACATTTTTTTAAAATATAATATTAATGCTTAACATTTTTCTTAAGACATTAGTTGATTACCTTGGACAAATATCGTTTATTAGTACTCATTAATATTACACACATAATACAATAGGTATAAATTATAATACTTCAATGACCTATGATGTCACGCATGATTTATAAAGAACAGAGTGATTGTCAAAAAGTAATTTTATTTCTCTCGATATTTTAAATCACTACACTTCCCCTCGTCTTCAATGTAAATTACGTAGAGTAAAATTAGGTAGTTAAAAATCATTGTAGGGAGAACAACTTAAAATGGACGGTCGATTTTTTTGTTATACACGTGTGGCATAATTACATTTTTTCCCGGTGTCTATAATTTTTTTTATTTTGTGGAAATAATAATTAAAATACTTGGAAAGTTTTTACAAGACGCCAACAACAGATTATTTAATTTTATATTTTTGTATCGAATAATAAAAATGTAAATAATAATATTATTATATAAAAATGTTTTCCAGGTTCAATCCTAACATCATGAGGATAATGACGATACAATAATTCTGTTATGTACGGAAGGAAGCTAGATTTCGTTTTAAGACTTCTGGCGAGTCAAATCCGCGCAGCTGACGACGATGACGGGACAACAATAATATTATTCCGGTAATATATTATACAATAGTCTTCGTATATTCATAATAATATCATTATAGTGCCACGGTGTGCTGTGCAGACCGAGCCACTACTATTTACAAAATTCTATGCAGAGATCTTCAATCATTCGAAAAAATTTAATATCGCAACCCGACCGTCAAGCGCAACTGCTAGTCCGCTATTTCCTCGCGGCGGCGTGTCATTATATTTAAAAAAAGCTCTAAACGCGAGTTTGGTTTGTTTTTTTTTTTGTCGCTACCATTCTTTTTCGAATGATTTATTATTTGTCCGAAAGACCTGACAGCGTATATACCAGCCGACTACGTTTGTGGCATATAATATATATATATGTACGTACATTGACACATTGTACACACACGCGCCGCCGACTTCTGTATATTATACTATTATATTATTATGTAAATATTATATTAATATTATTAATATTATATTATGTAAATACAACAAATTACGTTTCATTGTCGCGACTTCCGACATAGTATAATAATATAATATTATGTATTTACCTATATTATATCAGTGTAGATTAGGTGCTCAATATAAAAATGAAAATTTTTTTAAATATTGTTGATTTAGATTACTGAGAATATTATGAGAAATTTAGGTCAGCTACAATCCAGATTTCTATTAATTTTGTCAATTAGTACCTACAATACATTTATTCCTGTAGGTACAACATTTAACACATTTTTAAATCACGACTTAAATATATGTACGTTAAAAAAAAAAAAAAAATACAAATCGGACTTTTAGCCACATTTCAAGACATTGTCTACTTTATAACAATACAAAAAATCATTTAAATCGGTCTTTTGAAAACATAGTGACAACACGCGTGTTAATATTTTTCATGTTTAATTTAGTTGCTTTATGTTAATAATAAAATTATCACCCTGGTAATATTATAAGATAGTAAGTTATTTATTTATTTCATATAAACTAGGGGCTCTGCCCCGCACTTGCTTGCTCATCAACCTCCAACCAGTTGTGGATTCACCCCGTGACCCAAGGTTTTTCAAGATGTGAAGGGGGTCTTCACATCTTGAAATGTAATAACTATAGTAGGTACATAAAAATTTAACATAGGTAACTATTTAATAGTTGAAAATACAATAAGTGGTAGATAAAATGTTAACTTTTTTAAACAATAATATATTTTTTTTTTGTTACCATAGCAACTAAATTTTGTGAAAGATATAATATACAACACCTTTTATTATAATAATCTTAATATATAATATTATATTTATTTCCGTGTGTAAGTATTCAAACTCCTTCTAAACGGCTGCACCGATTTTGATGATTTTTTTTGTGTGTGATTGAATGGTTTAGATTCATAATTGGATCCGGTAGGCCCAACTGGGATTTTGATTTTTGAAATGAACGATGTAAATTTTAATTTTTAA